AATTTCTTTAAAAAGTGGTTAGGAGTCAGCAGTCCCAGTTTGTGAGAAGGATGTCCCAGATTGGAGAGGGTTCAGGCTGGGCTGAGGGACTGGGCCTCTAGTAGGAAGATAAATGAGGCTCCATATTTTATTTATAATAGAATCAGACATTTTCTGAGTAAATTTCATCAACTGGTATGGGAAACAATACTCCCACAGAAAACTTACTCCAATTACCAAATTGCAGTGTTACTCCAAAAATTCCACAAAATCCTTTAGCACTTTTATATGTTTAATGTAGCAGCCTCATCCTAAAACAGGGAAATAAACTGAAGCTTAATTTATAAAGCACGTAAAGTGCACTGTAAATAAATGAGATATTGTCACAGAGGTTGACTGTCTGCTTTCTGTGATGAGCCACATGAAATCTTAATGGAGTTTTGGTAAATTAGTGTTGTCAGAATTCACAGTAATGTCACTGTTAAAATGGTTGATTCGATATAGGACTCCTGTGGTGACATATTTGCAAGTATTCCTTTGTTCTGTCAGGTGTTGCACAGTCCTTCTTAGTACCCTGACTATGGCTCTTAGGTTAGCAAATATCGCCAGGCACTTGGTCACATTTCAGCTCAAAACATGTACAGAGAAGTATATGAGTGTTAGCTCAATAAATTTGACACAGTGAACCATATTACCAGCTCCCAGTTCAAGAAACGGGACTTTACCAGGACCCCAGAAAGCCCCACTCATGTGCCCACCCACTCACCCAAGAGCAGCCACTATCCTGACCTCAATACCATGGATTAGTTTTGCCTGTTTTAAAACTTATGTAAATGAATTGTCCTTTGTATCTGGTGTCTTTTACTCAATATTAAAAACACTCTTGTTTTTTTTAACCATATAGCATTCTCTTAATCTACATGATAACACTTCTCCTTGAATGAAGCAGTGCCTTGTTTCTTTCTAGCCTTCTGATGAAGACACTGTTAGCCTTAATGTTCCAATGTCAAATATCATGGAAGAAGAACAGATCATCAAGGAGGACTCATGCCATCACCTTAGTCCCATAAAAGGTCTGAGAATGAAAGACGGGGAGAAAGTGCTTGTTTTTTTTTAAGTTTAAAATGCTGTGTTTACAATATGCACACATATGGCAATAATAATAGTTAACTTTTACTGCACATTTCCTATGCACCAGGTACTGTGCTAATCTGTGAAGATGGTCTCATTGAAACTTCAAAACTCTAAAGTGGATACTCCTAATTATCTCAATTTTATAGAGGAAACTGAGGCTCAGAGAGTTTAAGTAATGTGCCAGTGGTCATGCAGCTAGTAAATAGTGAAGCTGTTCTCATTCTGAAGATTTATATGGATTCTTTAAATTCATTATTTGAAAGAAAATAAATGTAGATATATTACTTAGGATAACTCTATTGTAATACATAAAATCCCCAAATCTCATTGGTTTAACACAATCCAAATTAAGTTCAAATAGGAGTTGTGATTGACAGGCAGCTGCCCTCCAAGTGGTGATTCAAGGACCCAAGCTTCTTTCATGCTGAGATTTCACTCTCTTTAACATAAGATTTCCAAAGTTTCTGAATCCTTCTGTTTCAAAACAGAAGGGGGAGCACATGGAGATTTGCTCATAGGAAGTTTTTATGGACTGTGCCTAGTGGGAGCATCCAGCACTTATACCCTAGTCTTGGTTGTGTGGCCACAGCTAACTACATGTGAGGGTTGGAGATGTAGTTGAGTTGTATCCCCCAGCTTGACTTTGGACAAGTTAATGGACCTTAATTCTCTCACCTGTAAGTGATTAGATGATTAGATTAGGTAATCTTTAACTGCTTCTATAGCTTTAAAATTCTATGGTTCTTTGATAATATCAAATGATGGCCTGCATACTTTCAAAATACTAGTAATATATTTCATATCTTACTGGTGTGTTTCACAGAGTGAACCATATTACCAGCTCCCAGTTCAAGAAACAGGACTTTACCAGGACCCCAGAAAGCCTCACTCATGAAGCCCTCGTTTGATTACATTATGGCAGTATTTAGGCTGCTCCTGTTTATTCAGTGATTTTTAAAGAAAATACTAAAATTTAGTGTTTACTAATTTGTGACAGAGACTATTTCATGATGTATGACTAGTATAGAATTAAATTAATATGCAGATTATTTACCTAATAGTTTGAATATGCTTTCTTTAGTGACGAGTGAGCCATTTAAAGTTACTCAAACTTTAATGTTTGCTTTCACTTTTTACATTTAGGTTTTTAAGTGAGGACTTAAGTTTAGCCTTTATTGATCTGAGATAATGATTGGAACCATATATTGTCCAAAACTATAACTGTAAACTTTATGCAAAAATATAACTGCCACTTCATTGATTTAGATAAGTTTTATTACAGTATGCAGGATAGCAGATAGTGTTTCAGGCAAATTTAAAAATATATATATAATTTGTTGGCAGTGAGTTTTTCCCATCTGTTGTAGAAATGAGTATTCTGCTGGCCAGGAGTCCTTCATGGTGGTCCTACCTGGTCCTTTTTAGTCTTCAGATCAGAGAGAAAACATTGGTGCTCCTTTTGCCTCCCCTTCACCCTCTGGATTGCAGAGTGGAACACAGCCTAATTGGATGTGCTCTGAGAGTGCTTTCCTCCCTATGTGGCCCTTGCCATAGTCACATATTTTGTTGTTAGGATGTTAGGTTCTTGTTTTAGTTTATTCCCACACTCTTCCTTGAGATTGTTTGCTACTTAAGGACCATGAGTCAGGTTTGACTAGCTTTTTAATTCCTACAATGTTTAGCATACCTGACATTTAGTAGTTGCTCAGTAAGTATTTGATGAATTTTGAATTTGAAATATTTACTCATCACACATGACTTAGAACACAAAAGCTCTCTTATACTTTCTTTTCTTTGTTCCTTAAAAACATAAGACATGCCTGGCCGGCGTGGCTCGGTGGTTGAGTGTCAACCTATGAACTAGGCAGTCAGAGTTCGATTCCCAGTCAGCACATGCCCAGGGTTGGGGCCTCGATCCCCAATGAGGGGCATGCAAGAGGCAGCCAATCAATAATTCTCTTTCATCATTGATGTTTCTGTCTCTCTCTCTCCCTCTCCCTTCCTCTCTGAAATCAATAAAAATCTATTTAAAAAAATAGAAAAAAAGAAAAACGTAAGAAGTGAGCAGAGCAGATTTTTGTGGATGACCTGCTGCTCTCCCACACTGCCAGCATTATTAGAATAAATGCTCATATATGATTTTTTTTAAAAGCCTAAGATGGAATTTGATTTTTTTAAAAATAAATCTTTATGTTGAAAATATTACAAATGCCCCCCCCCATTTACTCCCTCCAACCCAGCGCTGTCCAAGGCCTTCACCACCCTATTGTCTATGTCCATGGGTTATGCATATACGCATACAAGGTCTTTGGTTGATTACCCCCCCCACGCAACTACATCCCCTGCCTTCCTGCCCAGAATCCACACTCTGTTCCATGCTTCCATGTCTCTGGATCCACTCCATTCATCAGTTTATTTTGTATAATGTATCGCTCACATGAGTTAGATCATGTAATACTTGTCTTTCTCTGACTGACTTATTTTGCTTAGCATGATACTCTCCAGGTCCCTTCATGCTGTCTCAAAGGGTAAGAGATTATTCTTTTTACTGCTGCATAGAATTCCATGGTATAAATGTACCACAGCTTTTTTATCCACTCATCTACTGATGGTCACTTGGGCTGTTTCCAGATCTTAGCTGTTATAAATTTTGCTGCTATGAACATAGGAGTGCATGCATTCTTTCTAATTGATGTTTCAGGTTTCTTAGGATATATTCTTAGAAGTGGGATCACTGGGTCAAATGGCAGTTCCATATTTAATTTTTTGAGGAAGCTACATACTGTTTTCCATAATGGCTGCACTAGTCTGCATTCCTCCCAGCAATATACTAGGGTTCCCTTTTCTCCCCATACTCGCCAGCACTTGTCATTTGTTGATTTGTCGATGGTAGCCATTCTGACAGGTGTAAAGTGATACCTCGTTATTGTTTTAATTTGTATCTCTTTGATGATCAATGACTTTGAGCATGTTTTGATGTCTCTTGGCCATCTGTATGTCCACTTTGGAGAAGTGTCTATTCAGGTCTTTGGCCATTTTTTAATTGAATTGTTTGTCTTCCTTTTGCTAAGTTGTATGACTTCCTTATATATTTTGGATATTAACCCTTTATCAGATGTATCATTGCCAAATATGTTCTCCCATATAGTGTGCTTCCTTTTCATTTTGTTGATGATTTATTTTGCTGAGCAGAAGCTTTTTATTTTGAAGTAGTCCCATTTGTTTATTTTCTCCTTAGTTTCCTTTGCCCCAGGACATGAATCCATAAACATATTGCGATGAGAGATGTCTGAGATTTTGCTGCCTATGGTTTCTTCTAGCATTTTTATGGTTTCACCATTTACATTTAAGTCTTTTATCAATTTTGAGTATATTCTTATGTATGGTGTAAGTTGGTGGTCTAGTTTCACTTTTTTACAATTTTCCCAACACCATTTATTGAAAAGACTGTCTTGATTCCATTGTATGCTCTTGCCTTCTTTGTCAAATATTAATTGACCATAATGGCTTGGGTCCATTTCTGGGGTCTCTGTTCTGTTCCATTGATCTATATGTCTGTTCTTGTGCCAGTACCGGGCTGTTTTGATTATGGTGGCTCTGTAATATAAATTGAAATCTGGTATTGTGATCCCTCCAACTTTGTTTTTCTTTCTCAAGATTGCTGCGGCTTTTGGGGGTCTTTTTTGGTTCCATATTAATTTTTGGAATATTTGTTCTAAATCTATGAAATATGCTGTTGGTATTTTAATAGTGATTGTATTGAATCTGTAGATTGCCTTGGGTAGTATGGATATTGTAATGATGTTGATTCTACCATTCCCTGAACATGGTATATTCTTCCACTTATTTATATCTTCTATCTTTTTTTTCAATGTCCTGTAGTTTTCCAAGTACAAGTCTTTTACCTCCTTGCTTAAATTTATTCCAAAGTATCTTAATATTTTTGTTGCAATGGTAAATGGGATTGTTTGTTTAGTTTCTCTTTCTGAGAATTCATCATTGGTGTATAAAAAAAATCATTGATTTTTGGGTGTTGATTTTGTATCCTGCTATATTGACAAATTCACTTACTAAATCTAGTAGTATTTTAGTGGAGTTTTTAGAGTTTTCTATATACAATATCATGTCATCAGCAAATAATGAGAGTTTTACTTCTTCTTTTTCAATTTGGATGCCTTTTATTTCTTCTTCTTATCTGATTGCTGTGGCTAGCAGTTCCAGTACTATGTTGAATAAGAGTGGTGAAAGCAGACATCCCTGTTTTGTTCCAATTTCTAGAGGAAATGGTTTTAGTTTTTGCCCATTGAGTATGTTCTCTGTTGGTTTGTCATATATGGCTTTTATCATGTTGAGATATGCTCCCTCTAATCTCACTTTGCTGAGAGTTTTTAATTAAAAAAAAGGGTGTTGGATTTTGTTGAATGCTTTTTCTGCATCTATTGATGTGATCATGTGATTTTTATCTTTCAGTTTGTTTATGTGATGTGTCACGTTTATTGATTTGCAAATATTATACCAGCTTTGCATTCCTTGAATAAATCCCACTTGGTCATTATGTATGATCTCTTTAACATATTGCTGGATCCGATTTGCTAATATTTTGTTGAGAATGTTAGCATCTATGTTCATCAGGGATATTGGCTTATAATTCTCTGTCTTTTTAGTGTTTTTATGTGGTTTTGGAATTAGAATAATGCTGGCCTCATAAAAAGAGCTTGGAAGTGTTCCCTCCTCTTGGATTTTTTGGAATAATTTGAGGAGTATAGGTGTTAGTCCTTCTTTGAAAGTTTGGTAAAACTCCCCTGTAAAACCATGCAGACCTGGGCTTTTGTTTGCTGGGAGTTTTTTTTTTTATTACTGCTTCTATTTCATCAGTTGCTATTGGCCAATTTAGGTTTTCGGATTCTTCCTGATTCAGTTTTGGGAGATTGTATTTTTCTAGGAATTTGTCTATTTCATCCACATTGTCCAACTTATTGGCATATAGTTGTTCATAGTATTTTCTTACAATCTTTTGTATTTATGTGGTGTCAGTGGTTACTTCTTCATTTGTGTTTCTGATTTCATTTATTTGGGACTTCTGTCTTTGTTTCTTGATGAGTCTGGCTAATGGTTTGTCAATCTTGTTTATCCTTTCAAAGAACCAGCTCTTGGTTTCATTGATTTTTCATATATTTTTTTAGTCTGTATGTCATTTATTTCTGCTCTAATCTTTATTATTTCCTTGCTTCTACTTACTCTGGGCTTTTTTCGTTGCTCTCTTTCTAGTTCTTTAAGTTGTAGGGTTAAATAGTTTATTGCTGATTTTTTTTTTTTGAGGTATGCCTATAGTGCTATGAACTTCACTCTCAGGACTGCTTTTGCTGTGTCCCAGAGGTTTTGGCTTGTTGTGTGTTCATTTTCATTTGTTTTTTAATTTCTTTCTTGACATGCTATTTAGCCTCCATGTGTTGTAATGTTTTGGGATGTTTTTATTGTAGTTGATTTCTAATTTCATCCCACTGTGATCTGAGAAGATGCTTGATTTTGATTTCAATTTTCTTGAACTTGTATATACTTTTTTTGTGTCCTAACATGTGGTCTATCTTTGTGAATGACCCATGTACATTTGAGAGGAATGTATATTCTGCAGCTTTGGGGTGAAATGTTAAATTCATCTGTTCCATTATGTCCTTTAGAGTCACTGTTTCCTTGTTAATTTTTTGTCTAGAAGTTCTATCCATTGAAGTCAGTGGGGTATTAAAGTCCCCTATTATGATTATATTGTTGTCTATCTCTCCCTTAAAGTCCTCTAGAAGTTTTTTATGTATATTTAGATGTTCGTATATTGGGTGCATCTATGTTTACTAGGGTTATATCCTCTTATTGGATTGATCCCTTTAGTATTATGTAGTGATTTTTGTTGTCTCTTTGGTGACCTTTATTTTGAAGTCTATTTTGTCAGATATGAATATTGCTACCCCAGGTTTTTTTCTTTTCCATTTGCATGGAAATGTTGTTCCCCATCCCTTCACTCTCATCCTATGTGAGTCTGTTCTTCTGCGGTGGGTCTCTTGTAGACAGCATATAGTTGTGTCATGCTTTCATATCCATTCATCTATACTATGTCTTTTGATTGGAGATTTTATCCATTTACATTTAAGGTTATTATTGATAGGTACTTATTTATTGCCATTTTAATTCTATATGCCTAGGTTTTTCTCTCTCTTCTTCTCATTACAGCAGTTTCTTTAGCATTTCTTGTAATGCTGGCTTGGTGGTGATAAACTCCTTTAGCCTTTTTTTTTTTTTGTTCGGGAAGCTCTTTATTTCACTGTCTATTTTGAATGATAGCCTTGCTGTATATAGTAATCTTGGTTTCAGATCCTTGCTTTCCATTACCTTGCGTACTTCATGCCATTCCCTATGCGAATATTGTTGAAGTTTCATGTTGTCCCACAGATTCCTTAAGCTGCCTTCTGTTTTTAAATTGTTTTTTATTTTTGGTTCTCTGGTTGAGTGATTTTTTTCTACCCTGTCTTCTAATTCACTGATGCGATCCTCAGCTTCCCCTATTCTGCTGTGTATTCCTTCCAGTGTGTTCTTTATTTGTGCTGTGTCATCCTTTATTTCTGTTTTCATAGTTACTATATCTTTTCTCATTCTGTAGAGCATCTTTACCATCATTATTCTGTACCCTTTTTCAGATAAGTTTCTTATCTCCATTTCATTTATCTCTTCTTCTGGAGAATTCTCTTGTTTTTTCATTTGGGAGTTGTTTCTTTGTCTCCTCATTTTGGGTGCCTGTTTGGTTTTGTGACTATATATTAGGTAGATCTTCTATGCCTCTCTCATTCTTTAGTGCAGGACAGTGTCAAACACTGTTTTTGTGTAATGAGATCAGGCAAAGACTCAAAGCCCCCAGAGTTCGCCTCTGCTTGCAGTCTGATTTGATTTAGTCTTGAATAGCCCTCAGGCAATCATCCACAGTTGTGGCAAGTTTTTCCCAACTGGATGGTGCAATTGCTTCTACCTGGAGGCTAATTGTTATTCTCAGTCTCTTAATGGGCCTCAGAAACTCCACACCTTGGGGAAAGGATTTTTTTCCAATAGGGTGAGTCAACTGTCAACACCCCCCCACACACACACACACCAGGCAAAACCGCCTAGATAGCAATTGTCTGAGTGAGAAAGATGACCTCCACAGTGTGAGGGAATGACTCAGCACAGGAAACCAGGGTGTCTGTCTTCTGAGCTCTTACCCCAGAGCCCCCAAACCTGGCTTCTGCTCACATAGCTCTAGTCCACTCCACCCTCCCTCGGCTGGAGCACAAGGTGAGTGGCTGCATAGGGACTTTTGTGTGTTGGTCCTTTAAGAGGGTGCCTGCATTTCCAGCCATCTCTCCCTGGCAGACAGCAACCCTGCTGCTTTTCACAATCAGATGTTATGTGGGCCACTTTCTCAGTTCTGGTGCAGCCCAGATTGGAGATTAGACCCCAGAGTTCTCAATGGGAACCTCCCACAGCTGAGATATCTCTCTGGAACTTCAGCTGCTGCCTGTGGGAGCCCGGCCAGCCTTCTTGCGCCTCCACCCTCCTACCAGTCTCTATGCAGCCTCCACTTTCCATCCTTGGTTATCAGGGTTCTCTCCAGTGAGTCTTCCATTGATTAGTCTGGAAGTTTTTCTGTAATTTAGTTGTAAATCCAGTTTGGTCCTGGGAGCGTGTTCATGCAGCATCCACTTACTCCTCCACCATTTTTAATCATACTCATTTCTTTCAAAAGAAACAAAGCCATATACAGTGGGGCCTTGACTTATGAGTTTAATTTGTTCTGAGACCTGGCTCATTAAGGAGCTCGTTAACTCAAATTACTCTATCAACTCAATGCAAAAAATCGTCCCAGAGACAGCTGGTATCTCAAAAAACTCGTTAGTCGGGACACTCGTTAGTCAAGGCCCCACTGTAGAAGCTTTTAACTTTTAAATTTAGTTTGTGGCTTTCTGTTACTTTTGCTTTCTTCCTCTTCTTTCTTCTTTTATCTTTTCCTTACATCATTCAGGGAAGAGAAAACTTGGGTCATATACCTCCTTAAAAGGTAAGAGAGAAAATTGATATGATTAGATGATACATTTCAGGGTAATCTGTACTTTGTTCATCAGTTTGTGAAATCATGCTTTCTGTCTGTCTATTTTTTTCTAATAGGGGACTTTCATCAGGAATTTCGATCAAAGCCTTCCCTTGGTGACAATGACAACTCTGGAGAAGAAAGAGACCAATTTACCCATGGAACAGATGTTCTCCACTCGGAATTTATAAATTATATTAAGGCAAGTTGAGGATCAACTAATTTTTTTATTTATTTACTTCTGTTTGATTCAAGGTTACCAATGCATCACCTTAAATGTCATCTTACTGCCACCTTTATAACATCTTCTCAAAGCTCAGCATATTTTTCTTTTTTTGTAAAATTGATTGATTTTCGAGGGAGAAGAGGAGAGAGAGAGAGACACCAATTTATTGTTCTGCTTGTTTATGCATTCACTGGTTGTTTTCTGCATTCCTGTAGTGTCCTGACTGAGAATCGAACCCTCAATCTTGTCACATTGGAATGCTCTAACCAACTGAGCTACCAGGCCTCAGTATTGATATTGGTTTTCTGACATTAGGAGCCAGTCCCTCCCATACATACCTTTTCATTTGTTGGCATATGTATATGGTTTTCTTTTGAATTCAGAAATTACTCATCTTGCCACTATTCAGTGCATTGTATCCATTAGCAAATGTCAGAGTTGCCCATTACCATTCAGTAAAAGGCAAACTAGACAAATTTCACATTCTCTTCAATGTATTGTAGGTGAATACTTTTCTTGGGAGTATGTCCACAGTATAAAGAGAAAAATGGAGACTTTCAGGATCTGGAAATGAATGTCTTCCCTTTTTGGGAGTTCACTCTGAGGACACTTGTTCCAGAACCATTGTAGTTACAGTGAGGTGTTGAAAGGTTGGATGAAGTTGCTAAGCTTCATCATAGTGGTGGCAAAAAGAAGAGAGGAAAACTAGCCTTTTACTGAAGCTGGTAGTTAAGGTTTCATTTGGAGACATGATTAAGTGCCTTGGTATGTTTCTGCCAGTTTTTTTGGTTAGGTTGTGGCACTGAAGAATGCAAGGATGATTCATTTGGTAAAATTCAGATTTGTGGCTTCTGAGAGATGGTGGTCTTTGAGTTAATGTGCTAAAGCCAAGCATGGGGTCTCTAAGAGCACATCCTTATTTCCTGAGAACTGTGTTAGGATGGCTGGAGTCTGTCTAAACTAATGTCTGTGGCCATCACCTCCAAGGGAACTGTGAGGAAAATTGTGAATTTACACTGTATAGTAAGTACCCTGGTGTACTCAAGAGGTCTTTATGCTCTCAAGACAAAAATAAAGAACCTGACATAGTACTTACATTTGTAGAAACTAAGATGATTTTAAGAAGTTATATACAAGCATACCTCAGAGATATTGTGGGTTTGGTTCCAGACCACTGCAATAAAGCAAATAATTCAATAAAGTGAGTCACATGAATTTTGTGGTTTTCTAGTGCATATAAAAAGTATGTTTACCCTATACTGTAGTCTATTAAGTTTGCAATAGCATTGTTTTGAAAAAAAATGTATATACATTAATTTAAAAATACATTATTGCTAAAAAGTTGTAACCATCATCTGAGCCTTCAGTATGTCATAATCTTTTTCCTAGTGGAGAGTCTTACCTTCGATTTATAAAAAAAAATCCAATATCTGCAAAGTTCAATACAGTGACATGCAATGAAACGAGGTATGCCTGTAGAAGGATGAAACACAGAAATACTTAACTCTTTATATCTAATCCATCAATTCTTGTTTCAAAATATCTCACAGCCACTGCCTCATTTGTGCCCTCTACCTCTATTGACATTGCTTTAGTTAAGTTTTATCATTTCTAATTCTGATGACTGCAAGAGTCCCACTTACCCAAACTTCTCACTCAGTGTCCTGCCCCCTGCATGCACATGCGTGTGCGCACACACTTACTTGTTCTGCCGCCAGCCATTCTCCTACAGTGCAAATCTAACGATATTGCTCTGAGGCCAGTAGTTTTCACAAAGTTCTCCCAGATTTGACCCCTATCTATTAGTTCTGGAATAAGCCTGTCATAAAATATGGAAAAGTGGGCTTTCATCTTTATTTTATGAATAGTTTATCTTAAGTTGAAAATCTAAAGTAAAAATGGAAACCCTGAAGGAAAACAATCAAAGCAGTTAGTAAAATAAAGCATTTTGTTTCACAAAAGCAAATTTCCCTAGATTCAGAGATTTTAGGAAGCAAAGGGCTTTCCTTTGTGGAAATGGCTGCTCTACAGAATGGACCCTGAGGGTAGAGTCTAGGGGAGTAAATAGGGATGTAGAAACCTATTTTGCAAATGTCCGCTCCTACAAGAGGCTTCTCTTGGAAACTTGAGCAAAGAACTACTACTAGTAAAATAAAACCAAATCTACAATGAAAAGTCATACATTGAAAACCAGCCCTCTTTCAGCCTTGACTTGCATCCCTTTAAAAACCTGAGAGTGTACATGACAGCCAACAATGTGCTGACCACTCAGTCCTTGAGGAGCCAGAGTTGTGTTTTATATAACCCTGTTTTCTCTCCTTCACTGAATTAGCATCTTTTGTTTTTGTAACTACAGTTGATCCTCATTATTCTCGGTAGCTTTGTTGTATAAAGTCACCTCAAAACACTGAATTATCAAATACTGAGCCATTGCTCCAAAGTATAAATACAGGGTTAGGTTCCCTGTCAAATGTTCAATACATAACCTTGCTTATTGTGTTTAATGGATTTTATTGTATTTATGTGTGTTTCTATTTAAAAACACTTTATTTAATATGTTTTGTTGATTAATTAACATTGAACTTGAAGCCCACACCACCAACTCATGGCTAAATGAAGTTTGTCTAACATGTTTTCTCTGTTATGGGACATCACAGCCTTCTTGTGCTTAGGAACATTAGACCACACTTCAGCACCTTGCTTGGGAGCATTGTATACAGCAAAACCACCCCAAAAAAGCACAAAAATGTGAAAATGTTGCACTAACTATACTCTAAAGGACACTTGTTTACACTATGACACCTGAAACAAGAAGGTGGAGGGTTTCCTTGCTCATTGTCAGCTGGAACTGTGCATGTCGGGAACTCAGGATTTTTCACAGTTCTCAGCATGCCTGCGAATAACTCTAGAGCACCACGAGTATTGATTTCAGGGTTACAAGTAAATTTTATTGAGTAGGCAAATTTATAAATATGGAATTTGCAAATAATTAAGATCAACTATGTAACTGTCTAACTTAGCAAAAGAAACCCAGTAAGACCTATTTTGCATACTACAAGGAAAACCAATATTTCATACTATTGGCTACTTTTTATTATGAAACTTAAAATTAGAAGGAAATACCCATGGCTCTTGTAGTTGAAGCCCAACAAGAAAAGATATGAACATGTTTTCTCAGTCATGTATGGTAGTGTATTTTCTCCCATGAATTTCACTATCATTTGGATAGTGTGGCACAATAATTTATATGTTGACTTTATGATGCACTAAAAGTATAGTCAATATAGAAAATGTCTGAGTATTTTTCAAGCCAGAGACTGGCATCAGGTGGCAAGCCACCTCTTTGGAAGAAGACTCGTTCTCAGTGACACATCTGGAGAATTGGCTGGGCCTGAGTTAACGATGTGTCAGAACCTTGAAGCAGGAAACAGTCCTTTTGGTTGTTGTTCCTTCCTTGTCAGAGAAACATACACTCATTCAGGGTGGCTTCTGTTCTAGCTGTTGGCTGAGCAAAAGTAGCATTTCTCTGTGTCAGAGAAGAAAGTAGAAAGAAGCATCTGGAAGTTCCAACAGTGGGACACACCTTTCCAATACTCCCACCAATGTTTCTTTGAGAAAATAATCAGGGTGGTGGGGGGCAGGAATTTCAGTGAAATCTGGATGTTACATATATGAAGCCTATTAGATGTCATTTGAGGCATTTTCTGTTGTTAAGTATTTTATACATTATTTTTTCCGAAACACACACACACCTTTCTCCTCTTACAAATGCCAGAATGCTTTCTCATGTGACTGACAAGCCCAACAGAAGAATCTTTGGACATCAGGAGGTGCTAAGACAGCAGTAAGGAATTATGTTTTAAATTTTTGACAGTAAGTTAACAAGTATTGTGGTCCTATTCTAGGTTTTCTTTTTAAAATTTTATCTTTAATTATGGTAAACTAAATATAACATAAACTTATCATCCCAATGATATTCCATTGTATGTATTGACCACACTTTGTTTATTCATTCATTCATTGAGGGACACTTGGGTTGTTTTCATATTTTGCCTATTGTGAATAGTACTGCTATGAACATGGGCTTGGTCAGGGTTTGACTGTGACTGTTGATGGCCAGTGGCTATCAGAAAACCCATGTGTTCTTTCCACAGGATAGGGCAGAAGACTGTGAAGAACTGTTACGAATAGAAGAGGATATACACTGGCAACCCGAGGGAATGTGAGTACCGAGGGCCTAGTTATGAGCCACTATCCTGTAAATTGCATGGTTTAAGCAGAATGGAAGCCCTGTCATGATAAGAATTCTGGTCTGCTTTTCTTTGGGTAGCTGATTTTCTTACCCAAAGATATTGATAAGAAGTAGCCAGTTTTCCTCTGTCTAATGCTTATTGTCACAGTGTTAGGGCAATACAGTGCAAGGTCATACCTTTTCCTTGGCCCAAAGTTTTATCAGATTTGAGACTAGAGGTAGAAATGTGTGATTCAGAGAAATAGATAGGACTTCTAAAGTGAAGAATCTAGCTTCCTTCCATTTGTATGAAGGAGCTGACAGCTGGACCTAAAGTAGCCCTGGTCCCCTTTCTTTATCCAGGCTCTTCAGTTTTAAGATCTGAGAAAAATCTAGTGCCCTGATCCTAAGTTTAATAATTGTAATAGTTAGCATTTATTAAATACCACATGCCAGGCACTATCCTAAATACCTCACTTCACCTTTACAGGTACCCCATTTCACCTTTAAAACAATCCTATTAAGTTCTATTTGTTGTTCCCCATTTCCCAGAGGACAAAACTGAGGCACAGAAAGATTATTTTGCCAAAGGTCACAGAGAGCCAGGTCAAAATCAGTTTTTATATGTTAGATGGATTTTTGTAATTTTGCTCTTAAGAACTTGGATCATATTCATATTCTGTGATGGTTTTCATTCTCATGCCCGGTTTCATGCTGCTGAACAAGTTCATCTAAAGACCAGGAAATGACTACAGCAATGATTGAACAGCTGAGAGAAGCAGTAGATTTGCTGCAAGATCCCAACAGGTATGCATGTCTTTCTTTGGCCCAGGCTTCATGTGCAAATAATACATACTAATTCATGGAACACATTATCTCACTTTATAAAGATAGTTATATACACAGTATGGGCTCTGTCTAACCACTAATAAAGAAGTCATTCTAAGTGCTTGTTTTCCCAAGATCCATAAATAAGAGTCAAACTTCTATAGGGATTGAAACCAGTTCCCCCTTTCTCCACCCTTCAGTGAAATTTATTCACTCTTCCTGAAATTCATATGGGAATCTTTGGTATAATTCTTAAAAAACAGAAATATGGCCCTAGCTGGTTTGGCTCAGTGGGTAGAGCATCGGCCTGCGGACCAAAGGGTCCCCAGTTCGATTCCAGTCAAGGACACATACCTCAGTTGGAGGCTCCTCCCCACCACTGGCCCTGGTAGGGGCTCCTGCAGGAGGCAACCAGTCAATGTGTTTCTCTCACATCGATATTCCTTTGTCTTTCCTTCTCTCTTGACTCTCTAAAAATTAATGGAAAAATATCCTCGGGTGAGGATTAAAAAAAAGAGAGAGAAAACAGAAATATGGTAATTCCTGTTTATAGAACTACAAGGGAGATTTCCCAAAAAGGGAAGAATCATTATGCCAAGTAGTACTACCATATTTATTTGATCATGGCAAATATATGTTAATTAAATAATATATTTCTAAAGATTTGGGTTACAAGGTGATTTTTTTTGAAGTTTTTTAAAAATATATTTTTATTGATTTCAGAGAGGAAGGAAGAGGGAGAGAGAGATAGAACCATCAATGATGAGAGAGAATCATTGATTGGCTGCCTCCTGCACACCCCTCACTGGGGATCGAGCCCACAACCTGGGCATATGCCCGGACCGGGAATTGAACCTGTGACCTCTTGGTTCTTAGGTCGACACTCTACCGCTGAGCTACACCCGGCTGAGCTACAAGGTGATTTTTAAATTGGATTAGCCATTGTCAATAACTACTACATGCATTAGATTAATTTTTTGGTTACTTAGTTAAGGATAATGAAATTCCTATTGACAAAATATTTTTCAGTAAGACAATATACATGGTATCAGGTAATAACTACCTTATCATTAGAGAAATAGATCCAAAGCCTATTCCTGGTAAACTCTTTAGGGGTCCTGGGAATTTAAATATGAAAATGATGTGGTTTTGTAATGTGGTGAATGTGGAAATCACACCACGCTGATTTCAGCTAGGTTCTGGGAACTTAGGAAAAGGTGGTTAGTGAGTGTACACCACCAGTGTTGTCAGGTCCTGAAAAAATAGTGATGGGTCAGATTGAGTATGACTGAAAATCTTTATCTGTTGATTGAAAAGCATTTTGATTCTGCAGACATTAATTGAGTGCTTAGAGCATAGGAAGATCTACAGTGTGCACCTTGGGGGATATAAAGATGAACTTAAACTATAGTAGATGGAGATTGCCTTGAGTAGTTATTGTAAATGTAACTGATTAACTTGTTTAAAAATTGATAGAGTGTCACTTGACCCCAGATGAAAAAAGGGAGCTGGCTAGACCAGCCTTCCTAAAGGTTTGGATATTAACCTTTAGTAACTAGCAATTTCAAGGAGAAAGCAAATTCTGGATTGAATTAAAAGCTTGGGCAAAGTTACAGAGGTCAAAAAGAAAGGAACAAGTTTTAAAAATCTCAGGCAGGTAAGATGATCTCCATCCTGGCCATGCTTCAGTATCACTTGTGGAACTTTCAAAAGAGACACCCTTGACATTACTTGTGAGTTTGGGTTCTGGCCATTTCCACTTTATAAAAGTAATGCTGGTGCCTCTGATGTACAGCCAGCACTGAGAATCACCAGGGGGACATTTCGAGTGGGGCAGGGGTTGACTTTGAATGCTGTTGCGGAGCTGAGACTTTATTTTATTATGTGCAGGGAAGATAATGATGGATAAAAAATGATTATTCATGTTGTTAATTCTTTCTAATCATTGTTTCAGGCCTAGCTTTTTATTAAGTGCCTGATCAAGGCATGCTCTTTAGAGAGCTGAGTTTCGTATCCTAAACCAAGGTAATTAGAAGGTAGGAAACAGACAAAAGAGCCTGTGTGTGTGTGTGTGTGTGTGTGTGTGTATGTGTGTGTGTGTGTGTGTGTTGTGTGTTACAAGTACTTACTTTTTAAGGTTGTGAGGACTTGAAGTAATATATAAACTACTAGTGGGAAGGTAAATTGGCAAAACCATTCCAGAAGGCATCCTAGTAGTATGTATTTGTAGTTTAAAAAATATAGAAACCATTTATTTAAAAGAATTCTAAAAATTTATCCTAAGGGGCTAAAGGATATGAGCAAAGATTGTGAGGGGGGAGGTATTTTAATAACAAATATTTGGAAAAAAGGAAATATATTTTGGTTATTAATAAGGCGGGATATTATGTATCCAATAAAATGTTTATTAAAGTTTCCAATATTAGAATGCTCATTATGTAATGCTAATTTTAAAAAAGTATATAAAATGCTTAAAGTTTGATCCCAATAATATAAATAGAATTAGGTTTCAAATGTGTAAGAAGCTAAGAAAAAATTAAAACTGGAAGTATATTATGATGGAGAATTTTCTGCAGGTGTTTCTAAATACTTTTAATACTTGTATATATTATACTTAGTCAGTGGTAAGTACTATTGTAGTTCTTTGATGATTACATGAAGTGGATGGTGAGAAGGCTGGGAGGGAATGGTCCAAGATGTTTTAGAGCTGAGCCCCTGGCATTTCTGAGATGGGGAATCAGGAGGGACAGCAGGTTTGAAGAGGATGTTGAGGTCAGCTTACGATGTGCTGAATAATACCCAAGGCAGCGATGTGGCGATGTACATTCAGCTGCTAGATATTTAGTTCTGGGACTTTGAGAGTTAGATTGGAAAGTCATTTTCACAAGGTGCTGAAGTAACAGAAACCGTGTAAGAGGATGAGGTTCTCAAGGGCAGGAAATGGATGGGAAGGGAATGTGAGCCCAGGACAGAGCCTTGAAGACAGGACGTGACAGAGAAGGCCACACTGGGCTCACACTTTATACTGTTTTCATACATCTACCTTTTACATCTTGTATCACTCTCCCAATGAAATTTTATTACAAGTTCTAGATTGATTAATATATGAGCCCAAAGCAAAAAAGAGCAGTCTATTTAGGTGGAAATAGCAGTGGCATGGGAATATGAGACTGGAACCCAGGAGTAAGATCCAAGTGACCTGGAGAGAGGGAGTAGATTCCTTTCTGGACCTCAATTTTGCCATCCTTCATGAGAAGTGGGATGAACTGAGAATTGTGAGATTCTTCCTGTCCAGCTTGGAAATGTCTGAGGCAATGAGTTGCCAAGGATGTTGAGCAAGTGGGAATGGGGAGTGTTTGCCTAATTGTAGGAGCAACCTTCCAAGTGATAGTTGATTTGCATCTTTATGGGTGATATTTTAAAATTACTAGAAGCCCCGTGCACAAAAATTTGTGCACTGGCGGGGGAGGTGTGGGTGGTGGTGGGTCCCTCAGCCCAACCTGTGCCCTCTCACAGTCTGGGACCCCTCGGGAGATAACCACCTGCTGGCTTAGGCCCGCTCCCCTGGTGGCAGATGGCACACCCAATCCCGCGGTGTCTGCCCCGTCTCCCCCAGTCACAAATGGCAGGCCCGATTCCAAGCTGGGGCGGGCGGTGGCTCGGGATCGTGCTGAGGTCCCTGTGGATGTTCAGGCTCCGAAAGCATAGTTTCTCTTTCTTGGTTTTGTTTTTACTTCTTGAAATTGAAATGTGTTAAAAAAATTTTTTTTTCTGCACCTTTTCGGGTCCCAGGGACCCCGCCATGCACCAGCTGTCCTTTCCCAGCTGGATGCTCCTCCGAGCTTTTCATGGAGGGGCAACCTTTTAGGTTGTGGGGTGCGTTGAGAGAAGCCTGTCTTTCTGAAAGCGAGTGTTTGATTTGGGGATTTATGGTCTGGCTGAGGAGCCCCCAGGGCCCACTCAGAACAGTAGGGGCAGCCACAGTGAGTGACCAAAGAAACCAGAGAAAAGTTAGGAGACAATAAACGGTTTGATTTCTAATTCCGCATGTTGCAGGAGCCGAGGTGCACCCTGGATTTTCCAGGGAGAGAGTGAGCAAGTTGCATGTGTGTCCACTGCCCCTCACACAGCCGGCCACTTGGAGTGTGACTTTCGCCAGCAAGGGCGTGGACGTGGCCGCCTGGGCCTTGTTCCCGCCTTTGCAGATGCATGTGTGTGTGTGTGGAG